CCGGGGGGAGGAGGAGGGGGAAACAGGCGGATATGCGAACAAACAAGATAAAGAACAATAACCAGGAAAAACACCTTAGGTTGGTGGGCAGGTGGGTAGGGAGGGATAGGGAAAACAGGGGGGGACGACGAATACGGCCGCAGTTGCGGGGTCAAGAGGAGGTCGGTAGGTCCGGGCGGAGGAGGAGGAGGAGGCTGGTTGAGGGGGTTGTATCGGGGTCGGTGTGTAGGAGCGGCAAGGGGGGAAAGGAGGGTGTGCGGTCTGATGCGTGGCGGTAGCAGTGCCGTACGTATACACCATCACACACCACTACCCCCGCAGCTCTGTACCAACCCCACCCCCGCCCCGCCCAAACGTGACGCGCCAGGTCACACGACCTCACCGACGACAGACCGGGGGGACCGGTCCACCCCTTCCTCCCCCCTCCCCCAACCTCTAGTACGACAACCCACTTGGAGCAAGGCCCCCGCACGGGCAGGGCCTCCAGCGCGCCCGTGGCAACCGAGTTCAGTTCGTCCACGTAAGACCTGAGCTTCTCCATCACCTGCAAATCATCGCCCGATCTCGCCAACGTTCAAACACGAAATCATATCATATTCATTTAATGTGCTACAATATTTATCATTACCATTCACCATTACCGCGCCCTCCTCCCCCTCGTCGTGAGCGGCTTATTTTGACGGAAGCCATCAGACCACCCGACCAGCCCTCCCTCCCCCCCCCGTCCCTCCCCCCCAGCTATTGCACCCAAGCTCCCCCCCTACACACAGGGACTTGCTCCCCCTCTCTTCCATTCACACAGCTCCCACCTTGTCTACATCGTAGAAGGGAGTTATGCGGCAATCCCCGCACACAGTGGCCTGACCGGGAATTTGATTGATGGAGCCCCCTTGACGGCGGAGGGGGAGAGAGGGGGCCCCGGGTGTGTGTGGGGGAGGGGACGGTGTTTGCGGTGGGAAGCGGGGAAGGGTAGAGCCGTGACGGGAGAGGGGTAAGGATGAGCAGCGAGCCCTGTGTGGTGATGTATGTTACAAACTTGGGGGGTCTTTATGCGTGGTGATAAATAAATGCCACTTTTCTACTTTTTAGTGAATAATGAAATAACGAATGAATAACTAAATAAATATCATTATTATTTAATACTATTATTTCATAATATTATTACTAAATATTTATTTCATAATATCATTTATTAAAAATACCTCCCAATAGGACAAGAGCAGTAAAACCCTGCTCTGACACGCACCTGGGTAAACCCACTGTGTGGGCTTCATGGTGGATGGCGTCGCAAAGCCGTACCTATACGGCAGTACGGATGTGTACAAAGGGAGTTATGAGAATTGACAGGACGATATGCCGTGATTTAAATATGTCTCACAGCTCAGAGAATACGTCATGGACGGGTACGGAATTACTCTGGTGTGAAGCGACCGCTGTTCAAGCGTGGTATCAGCACGGCGACATCCTCGACCTATGTCCCGACACCAGTTTTGTTCCACACACACACACACACACACTCACATACACACACACACTCACACACACAAACGCCGCCCTCTTTCCCCCCGCCGTGCGCGGGGCCCACCTGGCCTCCTCTGGGTGGGCCGGGAAGTCGGCGTAGAACCGGTCCTGCGGCGGTGTGAAGTGGGTTGAGGGCCCAGGGGGCGCAGAGGTTCAGTACCGCCATAACAGTGCCATTGCTAATGGCACTGCGGACATTGAGAAAACAAGATCTGCAGTAGCGCAGTAGCAGCTGCGCAGTAGCAGGAACAGCAAAGAGGACGCTGGTGGCGGGAAGAGAGCTGGAGTGGCTCTGAAGCATCTTCCACACTTCCGCCAGGGGCTGGTGGTCAGGTGGACTGACACTCACGGCGGCCTTCGGAACGGCCTTCGCGTACACACTGCGGCCCCTGGGGTGGCAACACCAAACAAATCAGGCAGTAGGTGATGAGGCACACACACACACAGAGACACACACACACAGGAACACGCATGCACCGTACAAACGGACAGCTGTGTCCCCCCATATTCACCTGCATGTATTGTACGGCGGCCATGGCAAGCTCGATAGGGTTAATGGACTTGTGCGGCAGACCGCTGTGAAACATCTTGCCGTAAACCTGCGCAGGAAGTGCCGTACAGTACTTGGCGATTTAGGCGCCGTGACGTCACCTGCCGATTTAGGCATCATGAATGGCGCGTCACGCTATGCCGCGTCACGCGGCATAACTCTTACGTCCAAATCGTGTCGACCGTACGGCACGTCATACCTTTAGTGACCAGGCCAGGATTCCACCTGTGCCGATGCATGGCTGGGAGTCAGCGACGTCAACCCTGGGCCGGGTGGGCGAGTGGGGCGAGTGGGCGATCGGGCGAGTGGGCGAGTGCGCGAGCGGGCCGAGTGGGCGAGTGCGCGAGCGGGCCGAGTGGGCGAGTGCGCGAGCGGGCCGAGTGGGCGAGTGCGCGAGCGGGCCGAGTGGGCGAGTGCGCGAGCGGGCCGAGTGGGCGAGTGCGCGAGCGGGCCGAGTGGGCGAGTGCGCGAGCGGGCCGAGTGGGCGAGTGGGCAAACCAACGGAGGAAGCGAAAAATTCCTCAACAATTAACCTCCTCCTCATCCTCCTCTGTTACATAAAGCCCAACGATTATGGCCCCCCGGCTCCTGCTTCCATGTCCGAAGGCTTTGCCCCGTCTGTCCGCGGGGATGATTCCCCAAAACCCCAAACCTAAAACGCGAAAAATGAAAACCAAAAAGGAGAAGCCTGGAAAAATCGCAAGACTCTTCCTTTATTTCATGAGACATCGAAAACGACTGCACGGCGTTCTTTTCGCGGGGGAGAGCAAGGTACGGTATACGACAAGTTTACGACGCATGTCGTACCAGTACAGTGGCCCCGCACGCAGGTTGTCCAGCAAGTGCTCCTCCACCAGCTTGTCAATGCCGATGCCCAGCACCTGCACGCCTTGGCATGAACATAATACTGAATACTGCTTATCCATCAAACAGTCTTGGGTTGGGCTTTACAAGTGATGTCAGCAGCAGTCGTACTGCCTGTAGTGGTCTCTTCAGAACTCCAGTGTAACATCATTCGCCAATTATTATGCACAAATAGGCAATGACAAAAGCAACTAACCTCTTCACCAGATCGTTTTCCCATGTATGAAAAATATTAATCGTGCATTAGTAATATTATGATAATTATGATATTATGATTTATATGACCGGCGGAAGACGGAACGAAACAACTCCATCACTGTAGCAGCTGGCCGCTGAAAAGGCCCCTCGAGATGCTGGTCGAGCGCTTTGCGCGTACTTGTAGGTGACATGTGTGCCGTACATACAGAGTACCAGCTACCACAATCACCAATGTCCTAGCATGGATTTGACAAAATGTGCGGTCCACCCACCCACCCACCACACACGTCTGATGCAACCGAAACAACCGCGCAACCGAAACTCGGCACACCCCGCAAGGATTCGGCACTACCCAATAACCGGCCCAACCAACACTCTAGATACCTCGCCTAACCGTTGGCTACCAGGGATATATTACCTGATAAAGAGGTAAAGACAGGATGTTGATCCCCATCCCCCCACACGTAACCGGTGTTTACCCATCTCACCTTGCTGTTTTCTTCATTGGCTATGTACACCCCCACGATGGTGCGTTTGAGCTTGGGCCGCTTCTCACCAAGCTGCCTGCCAGGCAGGCAGCCCGACAGACAGACAGACACATGGATTGGCAGATGGGTGATCAATTAGCCATTAAAACTGAGTAGGGCGGGAAAACAATAAGACGATGGAAACAAGGATCAAACTGAATGTGTTAGGGTAATTAGCGGGAAACTAACCAGCGGGAAACTACAGTTACGCGAAATGCAACGTTAGCACACTAGGCCACCAAGTTGACGGTTGGGGGTTTGACGCGCACACGCAGAGAGACACGCGCGCACACCCATCTACCTGAAAAGCTCGGTGAGCAGCGCCACATGCCCCAGGCAGTCCGTGGTGCCGCGACCGCGCAGCTGGTCGCCCTCCTGGGTCAGCTTGAAGGGGTCAAAGGCCCAGGTCTGCGGGTCGGCAGTTACCTGGCCAGCAGGATGGATAGACAGACAACGGACAGATAGGCAGGTAGGTAGACAGGTAGGTAGGCATGACGAATTTTCGGAACCGGTTAAAAAATCTCTGATATCGGGTCAATTAATGCAAAAGGAGGCGGCTCTTAGGATCTAGGACGCGACCCGAACTACCAGTAAGATGGGCATGACAGTGGTAGCCATGGCTGTGAGTGAATATCGATGGGCAAGCAACCAAGCCGAAGCTTCACTGGGTCTGCCAAGCCCGCTGTGTGTTGATTGGTGTTGATGCAAGCCAACCAATCATTCCCAGCCGGCCGATGCATACCACCGCCACAGACAACATGGCAAGCCAGCGCCCAACAAGGAGGAGGCCCCCGCAGGAAGACTGCGACATAACGGAGAGCGCCACGGCGGCTATGGTGCAGTTGTGCAGTTGTTGTGCAGCGGGCAATGGCTTCGCCATGAGCATCAGTCTCAGTTTTAAGACGAATACACGGAGGGGGTGAACCAGCACCTTTGAATGGCGCGCAAGTGCAAAGGAGCTGCCCCCCATCCCAGCACCGCACGCTGTCGGCCACCACGACTCACCACGTCCAAGTGGCAGCCCACGAACGACATGATGCCGCCATCAGGCTCTCCAGGATACTGACGCACGCGTTCGCGCGTGTCGGGACACGACGTAGGGTGTCGAGGTGGGGCAGCATTGAGAGGTCATGATGGGGCAGCGATATAGGTAAGGCAAGGCCTACATACGGCATGGCATGGCGGATACGACGAGGGCCGGCCACCCCCTGGAGAGGGTAGGCATAAGCTAGATGTGGGCGTAACGCACCGAGACGGACCCTTTCAGAGGAGAAGGGGAGATTAGTAGCGAACTAATCGAAAAGACGTCATCACTAAATACAACCTAAACGCGCTGGAGAGGTCTTTTCAGCGGTAAGCTACTACTGATGGCTGCTGCCCGGTTTTGCAATTGCTCAGGCCTAACTAAGCCTATGGTGGGTACTATGACTACATACCCACGACATACTATTAGATAGATGAATCAGATGGCAGCCCTCGGTAGTGGATTGCAACAACTGCGACCGGGCTCGGTCGACAAGGTGGCCGCCCTCCAGGCAGCTCAAAAGTGGTAACATCCCGCCACACCTCCACAATGATGTTCCCTCGCCCCTCAACATAGGAGATATGTCGAATGCGGAGTGGGCCGCCCTCGTCCTCGCTGAAAGGCTGGAGCACGTCCAGCACATGTCGGCCAGCTGCCGCAACCACGGGGAGGGGACGGACACTGCCGTCAGTTATGATAGTCACTGTAACATACCTATGAACAAAAACATCGTTTATCCATGCACAAGGTTCCCAATGCTCCCAAGCTAAGCACCTCGGTCCTCTTTCGGTATTGCTTCCGGAGGATTATTTTGGAGGAGCCCAGCCTCCCCAATCAATTTCTCAAGTAAATCAAGGAAATGCTTCTCATCTAGCTCAAACGTGTGGATTGGCATCTCCTTGCTTTAAGTTGTTTGTCGAGCGTTTTGCTTCCGATGTAATTAATGCACGACTGCGGGAAAGGAGCACCGACGAAACTCGATGAATTGCCTGCTAATTACCTACAGTACGTATTCGATAATTAACTTTCATATTTACAGGCGCTCCCCCTTCACATTGATGAAACGGGCCTTATCTTTATGTCTGGGACGATGCGCGGATGAATCACTTGAAACCGTAAATGCCCGTGCTACCTTCCTCCCAATTCAGCTTCCTGCGAACACTCGTAAAAGTTTAAAATCCGAGCCCGCCACTCTTAATTGGCAGGGCTTTGGCCGATGATGCGGGATATTCCCGCCGACGGTTGGCAAGACCAAAGAGGCAAGGAGTTGTACAACTACAAGGAGTCAAAATGAAGAGTGGAGCCAACGTCAAAACAACACTTTGCACTCTTGAAACATTCCGTGGACTACCACCCATGTTTTCTGGACGCGACTCCCACCCACACCTTCTAGGACCGTGCTGAACAACACACCGAAGACGACGCAACTCTTTCCCAAGAAAACCTGCCAAGCAACCAGCGCTGCCGGGAACGAAACGCAAGATGCACAAAACGTGCATCCACCCTCCTTCCCCAACCCTTCCATGCGTCAGTTCACTGAATCACACGCACGCGCGGCCCCAACTTGTGAGCCAGCCACCAACACGACCCCCCCCCCGTGCACATCGCCCCACAATTATGTAGCGGTACACACCGCTGCGTTACACCAGTGCAACTTGCCCGAAAGAAGCCAAGATACCAAAACGTGCTACTGCGTTGCATTTCTGTGCAACTCGCCAGCATCGAGATACCGGCACACAACACACAACACGCACATACACCATTGCGATATACATTCCAACCTCCAAAGAGGGAACTCTGTCGGGAACCTCCGAAGCCTCAAGAGCTCTGCTTTGACCGTCAGGCAAATGATTATGCGTTTCCCGCGGCTCCCTCCCACAAGTCCTTGCGCTCGTGCTCCAGCATGTCCGCCACCCGAGTACGTACAGCCGAAGGGCCCGTTGTCATGCTTGCCGGTTGACACCCCTCACTCGACCACATGCCCATGATCAGCTGCTGCAGTCCACGACCCAGACCCTCGTTCTGCACGAGCGTGTAGTTGTAATTTGGAGGGGTGTGGGGATGGGAAAGGCAGCGCGCAGCGGTGCAGCGGATGAGATCAGCGCCTGCTGGCGACATGCGTGACGTTGCCACACAGTTGCCGCCGCTGGCAACGATGTGGCGGGATAAGGACCATGCATCCAGAACCAGGCCCGCAGCAAGGAAGCAGGGTTCCAAACGTCAGCAGCGGCAGACACGCGGTGTACCACAATGGACAATCCGACCATGATGGGTCATGATGGATCACGGTCAAGTGTAGGAAGAAGGATCTGTGCGGGTCTTGGATATGCCGGCGGAGGATGGGCGGACGGCGGGGACGGCGCAGATGCGTTAGCTGGTCAGCTACTACGTACCTGGCCGCTCGTAACCCCCTCCAGCCAGCTCTCGTCCCACTCGCGAAGGTCGGCCTCCACCTGCGGGTCAGGACGCCACGCACCCGCACGCAAGAGAACAACATGAATGCCTTTGAGGACGGCTCACAGATCTCTCCTGTCGAGTGAAAAGGCCAGTGCTCGTGGCGCTGACACATGCTTGCACCTGGTAAAACGAAGTGAAGCAGAGCCGGTCCACATGCTGCTGCTGCTGCTGCTGCTGCAGGCACGCCAGCTAGCTGGCGGCATTCCATTTCCTTTCAAACAACCACTTGGCTGTGGAAAAGGACCGGAACCCGCATGAGGAGTCACCCGGCACACTCAGTGCCTGGGTACCAAAGCACGGCGGTACCATCTTCGAAAGGTAAGCCGACGCATTTACACTTGCATGCGATGCGCACAGGGTTTCGACGGACGCAGACACGGACATGTATACGTAGCTCAGGATTGCGTCGAAATGCGCGCGCACTGACCTTGGGCAACTCAAATGCGCCGCGGGCGCTATACGTGGGATTGCGCTGCTGGTGGCGCCAGCGTGCGGCCTGAGGCGGCAGGTCTAGCGACTGTGCCACCAGCGATGTGACCTGCTGGGCCACCAAAAGCGGGTTGGAAGGGGAAGAGGAGGAAGACGAGCGATAATGATGTCAGATTGGAGCCCGACAATGTAGCTAAGCAAGCGACCCGAAAGGGGACAGAGAGAGAGAGAGAGAGAGAGAACGGAGAGAGCGCAATGGGGACGGGACTACCGTCTGGAAGGTGGCAATCATCAGCCCAGAAGAAGCTCACATCACAGGAAAGGGTGATCACCTCTCCTGCACGTTTCCTACGAAGTCCCACGACGCATTTTTGCACCTAAAGCGTGATTTCCTCATCGCCGTCGCCAAACAAAATAAAGACCGCGAAAGCAGGAAACGCAGGAGGCCACCTGGTATCTAGGTGATGAGATTCCCTACTAGCTCAACTCCACCGCGCAGTGCTGTCCCAACGGCCTGGCCCCCGGACCCGCGGACAGCAGAAACCTGCAAACAGATGTCTCCTCCCAACCGCCGCCTATACAGCCACCTACCAGGCTATCCGCCATCCGCGGTATCTGCTGCATTCCAAACATGCCACCACCACCAGCTGGAACCCCTTCCTGCACCTGGGAGGATGGCATAGAGGATGGCTGCTGTACGTTGTGCAGCAACTGCTGTGGTTGCTGCTGGCTTGGGATGTGATGGAGATGGGTTGCATATTGCTGCTGCTGCTGTTGCGGGGGCAGCGGCTGCGGCAAATGCCCGGTTCCGCGCACAGCGACACCGCCGACGTTGCTGTGTACGTGAGTGGCCGTGGGTGTTGCAGATGCTGGCGGGGCAGCCCCCAGGGGTGTTCCCCCTGCGAGGGCAGACATGGCCGCAAGCCGCGCTTGCTTGCGCACCCGGTTGGTTTCCGCAACCGTTGCGTTGACCGCTCCAGGTTGTCCGGCAGCGGCGTTGGCTTGACCAGCGCCGCCGTTCACTTGGCCTGCAAATCCTGCGGCGGGGCCCGCGGGCTGGGACTGGATGCCCATTGCATTCACATTGGTGGCGGTGGCTGCGGATGGTGTTGTTGGCGCCGCCGCTGTTGCTGCTGTGGACTGCGATTGCTGATTGCCGAAGAAGTTGGCGGCGGGGTTGGGTGCGCCTGGCGGTGGCAACCGTCGCGCCACAGAGCTCGCCCGCGCGCCGAAGACTGAGGTCATACGGTCGCGCGCCGTGGCTGCGGTGGGCGCCACTGGCGCCGATGCAGCGGCAGCACCTCCATAGAACCCGCTGCTTGCAACATCGTGGCTCGGCTTGTGGGCCCCGATGGCCTTAGGCTCGGCTGTGAAATCGACGAGTTTCAGAGATTTGGGCATGGGGGTTGTTCGGAGGCATGTACGGGTGTGCACAGGCAACAGGCCAGTATTTCCGGCAATGGGGCCAACAGGTGAGGGGTACAACCGCGACGCACAGAGATAAACCCAGGAGGCCGTCTTATCGGAATTTCGGGCCTTGTAATCCTGCATGACCTAAGCTTTTCGCCCATGGGAGGAGATTTGTGGAATGCCCTGGCAAGCTGACGGCGTGCTGAAGATGCCCCCATTGGGGGAAGTAGGCCGCCGCAGCTCCGGAGCCACGCACCCATCAATAGCCATCACCATCACCATCCTCCAAACCGTTAAACAAACCAAGAATGCCTCACCGGCTTCCTCAATCCGCTCCAACACTAGCAGCGACACTTCCACCCGCACAAGTTGCGGCTCTCCTGGCATGGCCCCCTCGGCTGCTGGGGCCCCTGCTGCATTGCACGCGCCGGCGACGTTCTGTTTGCTTGCGGCGATACCAGCGGCGGTGGCGGTGGCCCCGACCGCACCTCCCGAGCACGGTGCGCCTGAATCCGGCTGTGATGGGGCATTGCTGCTACCACTGTCAGAGTCACTGTTGGTGCTGTCTTGCCCTGTTTCCAGGTCACGGCATAGCTGCGGGCATACGATGATGTCGTGACAGTGTGGCCCCACCAGCTCCCGCACGGTCATAGCTGCAACCTATCCGCGGCGTGAACAACAGTGGACAGCGTCGTACGAATCAAGCTGCTATCCGCCACAACGACACACAAGATGCTGGCTAGCAGCAGCAGCAGCACCAGGAGTTGTACCGCAGACTGTTACTCGTGGCAGGGGTGGACCCCTCACTGCACCCCGTTGCGAATGACCCGTCGATGCAGCAGCCAGCACCTGGCATCGTGTATACAAGCAAAAATGCACGCACAGCGCGTCCATGCCTGTCATATCCAGAGCCTCCCAGTTTCTCTACCCGGTTGGAGCCCCATCCTCACCTGCACAGCGGATCGCAGTGCGTACTCCTTGTGGTTGTCCGTCACCATGGGGCCACCGTTGCCCACAGCAGTGCTGCGCTGCCGGGATGGACTCCCCGGCGGAAGCACGCCTAGCGCAGATGGCGGCACGCGTAGCACGCACAGCACGCCAGTCGCGCTCTCCAGCTTGTTGTCCAAGAATGGCGACTCCGACGCAGCCTGCATACAGCACGTGTGGACTCTTAAACCAACGCAACCTTCCGGAGCTGAGAGTCGTTTCTTATGTGGTATGCATTACGCCATCCAGAAGACCCGACCTGAGACTCCGGGTCGGTCGGAAGGGCACCGGTACCTGTGGCCGCACATGCCCCGTCAGAGGCTGTGCCCATTTCCGTCAAAAGGACGCGTGCCATCTTCGCCAGGAGGGTACTATCCATCAGTGAAGTGGGTACAAACGAGGAAGGCACAGACATCGCCACAAACGCCCCCAAGGGGAGGGAGCAGAATGGCCCTTGGAACCCCAAGATGTTACCTTAACGGCATCCTCAGCCAGTGTGCTCAGTGCACTGGCTAGGCCGGCCTGCTGCAGGAGCGGTAGCGGCAAAGCTGCCTGGCCTCGGCCCAGGGTCGCGTGGCCTGCAGACCGCAAAACCCCAAAACATGTACGCACCGTCAACCTCTTGAGATTCACCAACAGAATTCACTATTTTATTAAATTATTGTAAAACATTTACTCAACTTGCAGTAAGTTTGCGCGCGAACCAAATGACCAAGAAGTGAAAAGCCTTCAGTTCAGCAGTTCTTTGAGTTGGAAAGGACCAGCAGAAGCTGGCGCTCGCCTATCTGGCCCCATGTCAGCAGGCGCTGTCCTGCGCTGTATGTGCTGTGTATCCCATTCCCGGGCCTGTATACACAACACATCCCATTTTCAACTGCAACAGCGTTATGCAACGCTTTCCTTGTCTGCATTCCCTAAAGGGGAACTTAATTCGTCCTGCTCAGACGACCACTGCCACCCCGCATAGAGACCCGCCTGCCTGCGCGGGCGCAGATCCTACAGCCTGGAACTATTTACATATGAACCGACTATTGAGATGGAAGTGAATCGACCGTCCGAACGGATCGACGATGAAGACGAAGACGGAACGACCAAGCCCTAAATAGGCAGCACTGGAACGGAAAGGTCCAGTCCAGTCTGAAGGACCGCGAAGAAGTAAATGCGGGACCCGCTGTCCGAGTGTAAACAGAAGCTGTCTGGTGAGACCACAAACCGATTAATTTCCAAGGCGGTTCGCGGCCCGTTGACATCACTACACACTGCCACCTCGAGTCTTACATACTCAGGTGCAGGCCAACCTTTTTCAATATTAGTTATATCCTTGGGCTTAGACGTCTTTCAATTTCGTGCCGTAGATGCAACAAGGTACACGGCAGGCCCCACGTACCCGGGCACGACAGCAGGTTCATCATAGGTGGGAAGAGCGGGCGCCGGATATTTCGCAGGTCGCGGCCATGCCACAGGAAGGCGCCGTGTGACACCTTGAGCACCTCCGGGGCCCTGCACGCAGTATCAGCATCAGGTAGTAAAAATAATAGCAGTAACAGTAGTAGTAGTAGTAGTGTGGCGGACGTTCAATCACATCATCCGCACGGCCCCGGACCTAGCTGAGTTCGTGGGGGCCAAGAGTCTCTTGAATCAACGCGCTTTCCACAGCAGTCACAAATCGCTGCAGCCCAGTTCGCTAATACTTAATGCCCGGTTAATGCTTTACTTTGCACGGCGCGGTGAAGCAAGGGGGCTGAGGTGGGGACATGCAACCAGTAGGGCCATGCGGGTGCCACTTCACGGAGAAATGGGGTACAGCGCTGGAAGGGGGAGACCCACGGAAGTTCCCAGTTGTCACGATGCCTCCCTCATCACCGCCTCATCCGGCCTCATCACAATCCTGCTGCTCTCCATGTGTAGCGCGGGAATTCCTGCGCTACAGCCCATGGCCCCTCCTGTGGGAGGAAATGGCGGCAGCCGGCATCTCAGCCTCGAACTGGAGATGTCACCTGCGCGTACCTAAGGGCCCACAGCGTGGATTGGACCGTGTAGACAAGCGTGTTGTCCGCTATGGCCTCGGCCTGGCCCATCGTTAGCTCGGCACTGGCGCGGGTCAGCACTCCCTGGGCAATTACGACCTAAGGGAGGGGGATCGATGGGGCATGTCATGGCAGGGTTGTAGTTAGGCGTCCAGGGCGATTATTGCTACGACAGCATGAGTGCGATGGGCTTTCCGTTCAGTGGATTGGGCGCGCAGGACAGCCTGGGACATGGGGGATCTGATGGCGACATTCATACTTGCATAGGGCGATGTGCCCACTGCATTCCGCCGTAACTCGTCCTACAAAAGGAGACACCCGCAATCCCTCAGCACTCCGCCAAAGGGTTGTGTACAGGCGAGCCCAGCTGAAGAACCTCACGGAGCGAAAAGCCAAAGCGCCAGAAACCACCAGCAGTTCATGGCAGCGTGTCCAGGAACCAATCGGGGCCAATCCCCCCAGCAGTGACATCAGCTTTCTGCCAGCCAGGTGCCGTCCGTTACGTCCGGTTTCCAGCAAAATACGGCCGAGGGCTGTTCCGCATCCTGCCTTGCCTAGTATCAGGGTTTTCCTAACCGCAACGCAACTTCCAGACACGCCGCTAGGCACCGCATCTACCGCGCCTTTTAAAGTTGTTTGATACACGTATCTTCCCCTCCAATTCGGTATTGAAACCCCTCGGGCCGTGCGCATTTGGGTCTGTGGCTGGATCCTCGGTGCCATCTATCTGCAGCTCTTAACCCGTACCCCTCTCGCCGAGGGTACAAGACCTCGGCAGGTCGGATCACCCTTCCCCTGGGAAAGGCCCCGGTCCCAGGCAAACGCACCACCAGATGCGCCACCTCCTCCATTGCGCTGATGAGTGTGTCAGCAGCTTCCAGCCGCCGTGTACCCTCGAACTCAAAGGGCCGCGTCAGCGCCGCCGCGACGAAATAGCCCTGACGCCGCAAATGTCGAACGAGTTGCAGCAGCTGCAGAGGCAAGGGAAGAGATGGGATAGTGGGCGCGGGACGCGGTGCAGGTGGGCGCACACATATGGGAAGAAGATGCACCGGGTGAAGGTTGATGACGCAAGATGTGGACTGGCACGGCGCCCGATATCCGGCCGTGTTCTGGTGGCCAAACGAAACCGCGAACACCCCAGGAGTGGGGAGGGGAGGAAGAGACACGGCAAGTGGCTCCAAGGCAAGTGCTGCAACCAGATCGACACCAGCTCGATCTTCACGCCACAACGCGCCTGACTACGCAACGATGAGGGTAATAAGGGCACAGCTGGGTAGATACTGGATAAGAGGAGTGACGACGGAGCGCCGGTCAGAAAGGCACGGGGGACCCTGCTCTGGGGGTATCCGTGTGCCCGCCTGATTCGATTGAGTTACCCAGGCACGGCAACAACGCGCAAGCGCGTATTGACGAGCACCATTGACTCACACCGTGCACGTCTCATGGCCCTATAAGGCGCGCAGCCAACGCATCCGTACTCTGAACTCGTGCACAGTGCCTCGCTGGAACCGATTTCTAAAGCACCAAAAGCGGGATGCTGGGGAAAGGGGTGCTGTTCGCGCCGCTCATCTTTCTTATAAGGGGGGACGCCAGCGCGGGCCGGTGTGGGACAGCTACTGGAACGGTATGGTGGGCAGGGAGTAGGGGCATGGTGGGAGACAGACCTGAGCTGGGCTGAGCCCATGCTCTGCTTTCTTTCGCCATGTTATCCCTAGGTGGTGCATGGTAGTGTTGATGGCTTCGTTAGATGTCTTCATAGGAAAACCCCCCTACCGCCTACAACGTACCATCGGCGAGCCCCCGGGGCTGCCAAAAGCCGACCCCAGCACGAACACGGCTCCCGCATGGCCATCAGGCGCCTCAGGCGCGGCGGGGCTGGTGACGCCGCCTGAGAGCGCCATGAGCTCTGTCTGGCCCAGACATGCATCGTCCCCAGGCGCAACCTCCAGCACGCGCGTGGTGGCTTCGGCTGTGGACAACACCTGGGTGACGTGGAGCGGCCCAGTGGCCCAGTGGTTGGATGGATGGACAGGCGGTTCGCGGTCGGAGATGTGGGGTTGGAATTCAGGAAATCTGGGAAAAGAAAGCTACTTTTTTATACCTTTTTAACTGCCGGACCCCGACAGGAGTGGTCCGGGTCCCAGACGGGTTGGGCACTGTTAAGGAAGCTTCGCTTGCACGTCCCACGGCACGTGCCCGCCGGCATTTGTTGGGGAAAGGATGCACCTGCCTTCCCCCGGCAATGTATCTACCTCGCCTGCGCCTTCGCACAAATAGTCATGCTGTTCAGTCCTGCCACAACCACCACCTCTACCACCGCGATTGGCAGCGTTATCAATGTAGAAAGCACTGGTAGGCGGAGAGTCAAGCCACGCATGCTGTGGCATACCCGAAAACTGCACAGCGCTTCCTACGCATTCAGTATTGCCAGACAAGGACAATCAGCCATCAGCCGTTCCCGTTGCCCTGAGAGAAATAATCACATCCAGAGCTACGGCCCTTTTATTGATTTTACCAAAATTATCGCTTTTTACGCACGCGGCCCTTCAGGCCCTTCTCTAATAAAATAACGGCTCCACGCACTCGCTTGTCGGAGTCCAGAGCCCAGAACTCCGCCTCCGGCAAGGCCTCGGACCCTGCATGTGCCGTCGGTCGGGTTTGAGTACGGGGTACGGGGGCCATCCATGGCATCTTCTTTTTGGGGTACCGTGGTGCCGTACCTATGAGACGATTGACCGCACTGATGCCCCGAAGCCCAAGGCCAATGACTTTGAGCTGGGCACGCGCCTGCGTTGACGAAAAGAGCTTACGTGCATGCCTTGTATTACTTTGGGGGAAGCGACATTGACCGTGTCCATCCTACCGTTCGCTGCTGGGCCGGGAGAGCAGGCACTGCCGTTCCCAGCTTGGCAGGGTTACTCGCCCCGGGTATTGACGCTTGCACATCGTCACCTTGACGGTAACGGCACACGCCCGAGCGCAGCTTGGGGGTCTGTTATGGGTGGATGCTAGGTCGTGGGACAACCCGGTCGACAGAGCGGCAGAACGTGGCCCTTTCCTTAACAGGACTTACTGACGTGGTCGACAAGGGACAGAGGCTCGCACCAGGCCGCGCGCCAGGGTTGTTGACCGAGGGTGGGTTCGATGTCTGACGCGTCACGTGTGGTAGCTCCGTCACGCTTGACCGTAAAGCATGTGTTCTGGAAAACATGACGACCCCCGCGCGCGGATGCTACAGCTGCCAGGAAGTATGCAGTTAGTGGATGTCGTGTAAAATTAAGGTATCGTTGACACTTCTGCTGCTTCAGTTGCTACAAAACTATGCTGGCAGCCTAAGGCGCAATGCCATTCTTCCCTTCTTCACTTAGAGGTGTACAGGTAGTCCAGCGAAGGAGGTCAGTCCGTTAAGTGGTAAAGAGACAACCAAAGTCTCAACCGGGCACGGACCTCCAGGCCCTGGAAAGCTGTCGTCCCTATTCGAAAAGCCGTACCACGGCCCCTGAATACGGTCGAACCGAGGCAAAACAGGTTATGCAGGGTTTCTAATGTCGTCTATTAGGTTACATCAGGTACTATAATAGTATTTGATATTTTTTAGGAGAACTTAATGCAGCTTCGTTGAGTGGTCTAAGTATACTGCCAAGGGCTTACACTCTGTGAAGCAGAAATGAAAAGAAATATTTCCGGACTGGGCGTGCGGACGCATTCTGCGCTACCGCGTTGCACGCCACTAGAACGGTAGGGCAGGGCTTCTGGCTTTGTCTGCCGGTACAATCAGTCCTTCTTATTTCCTTGTGTCTTACATGGAATGTACGCAGCCGCATCATGTCGGCTCGGCGCTTTCAACATCGTGGCGTTGGGGCACTGCAAGCATTCGGGGAGGCGGCATCGCAGCTTGACGTTGCGACGACGACCGCAACCAGCGAACTGATTGTCCGTTCCCTTCATTCCTCTGGAGCCGATGTGTCTCACCTTATAACGCACTTGAATCATGCCTTAGAAGGTGGGGCTGTAGGAGGACCGCTCGTGGTTTGTCTGTACTGTGGACACGCAGTGCTGGGCAGCCGCGAGTGCAGTTTTCCGGATCACATTAAGCTCATTGCATTTCTTCTTGAAACTATGCGATACGGGTCGAATTACACATGTTGCTTGCGTTGTAACCCCGCAGGGTCCAGCGCCATGTTTCGCGCAACCCACCATACGCAAGCTTGTTTGAGCACAACTGCATCTCTCGCAGAGGTAAGTTGGTTGAGTTAATGGAAAACCTTAGGTTTCACACAACGGGTTTGTACTTCAGCGTGTTGCTTCACAACGCCACCTTAGGTTAAGTCGTGCCTTTCTTTTATGGACGCAGTCTGAGGCATTTCAACACTTTACAAGCTGGGCCTCAGTTCAGCAGCACTCGACCCTGCCCGATGTCCTTTCAGCTGCACCAGGTGAGCACCGAACAATTAAAGTGATTTGGCGACATGACTGTGAAAATGCTTCACAATTATTTACTTTACGCTCGGGACTCAGGCCACAATAGGTGGACACTTGCGCAAGATGTTTCTACACACACCATCCGTCCTCCGTTATTTACATCCTTAGGTTTGGTATTGTGTTTGTGTGTACCGACTGCCTGTTTTCCGACTGATTTCGCGCTTCCACTGCCGAGCAGTACTCGCGGATATCGGGACTTCAGCTCACGTTGCTATGGCTGCTGATGCGGCTACCGTCATGGCGTATGACGCTGCACACGCCTCGGTGTTTGCATTGGCGACATGGGCTAGTGAGCGGCTCGCCACGGTTGCGACGATGGACCCGGATTCGTACAGCATTATGCGCGGCACAATGGACAGTGTCATCGCTGCTTTGCACGGAGTCGTCGACACGCAGGTGCGGCATATCATGTATGGGGCGAGCACTTAGGCTAGTCCTTAAGTGATATGCAGGTGTTCCGTCTTATGGGCGGATTGCGTCGGTCTTGACGCTCCAGAGACCCCACCCGCTTTGCAGGTCGGCCAAATGGCGTGGGGCTGGACAAGCGCGGTTGTGTTGGGTGTGCAGCAGCTCATTACAACGCTTCGCACGACGGCCCCGGGCGCTGAATCCACCATTGACGCTATGCTAGCGGCGCAGCAGGCAATGCGAGAAACACTGCTGGTGAGCGCAACACGTCCGCCCCAGGGTCGGTTTTATAACATTACTTTTCCATGTATCGGTGCCCGTCCTGGATGAATCAATTTTCCCCTCAACCACTTCATCAACATAACTCCTCAATGGATAACCGGTGTCGTCCAGAAACGAAGAACCGCATGCCGCAGCGCTGACCCGTGCTTGTCGCCCGGCTCCCGTGCCTGATGTCCGCGTTGTAGGCTGGCCCGACGCCTGCCGGCAACAGCAACGCTGCGACGCAGGTGGCCATGTTCGCGTTGGTCCTTCTCGTGGCCGCTATCCCGCGGGGCAGCCCTGCGGCACGGGCGCCCAGCAGCGTCCCTGCGGCGCAGGGCGACTCGGCGTTTGGCATCCCGTCCGCGCCCTCGCAGGGCCTGCTGGGGACCAGCACATCCAGCCGCAATTTTGACGCGTCCGTGGCGGATGGTCTACCGCTTCGCTACGACCCCAAAGGCCTGGATGACTACTTCGGGCAGCGGCCGCTGGTGGTGCTCAGGCGAAATGCGCAAGTGGGTAACCTGGGGACGCTGCAGCTCTGAACGGTTGCATGGCGAGGCGTCAATCTTACACGAACTGGGTGACCGCCTTTCCCATTCTAGAGCCGCTTTACACACCGCCTTTTTGAGCGAAAAGTGACAACATTTGCGGCGTGCATGTTCGGAAAGCAAAAAAAATAGTGCAGGATGTGCAATCGTGTCTATACCATGTCTATACATGATAATAAAACCATGTGTAACACCGACTAGTGATTGCCAGTACCGCGCCAGCATCGTCAATGTGCTGTGGATTGGCGCTGTTATAGGACTTGGCAGCGACGCGCGTTGCGTGATGTTGGGCACACGTGCCGGCAATTTACCGGCTTCGAGGAGTCCGCCATTTCCCCGAGCCGGACATATTCTGCTGCTCCCCCGGCCCGTTGTGCTAGGCTCTTTCCTTGCTTTTCTGATACGAGCGCTTGCATTCACCACATCAATTCAATCCAGTCGCTGTGTGAAGCAACAGCACCTCCTTAAGAGTTGGGGCGTTCCTAATCCCCTTGCAGGTCTTTTCAAAAATTGGCGGATTTGCCGTCAACGTCTTGATCGACTGGCAGATGGGCGTCTTCGAGACCAACATGGGATTGCGCGCTAAGGAAGCTGGCCGGATTATTGAGGACTTGGGACCAGCGTACATTAAGGTAAGATCCGTGTCGTCGCTCTGTGGCGTTGCTGTTGTATGTGGGCTGAGTACCAATTGGGGGTTATCCTGTTAGCTTTGAAGTTTACGTAACAGCCGCTTCATAAGTAAGGTTCTTAGGCAGAGATGCGCCATGAAAACCTGGGTTTGGAGTTTACGACAATCTATGTAGCTAGTTGCCAGTCATGGTGTATGGAGCTCCGTAATGGTTTCTGTCAGTTTTGTTATCAGTTAGGTTATCCCTGGGTTCGCCAAGCCGTGCGCTGCGGGCTGCTCGTCCGGGGGAAGCAGAAAAGTATGAGCCAGAAGAAAGCTATTTGTAAGGCTGAGCGCAATGGATTACATCCCCTGTTTTCGAGCGAAATAGCCACACGGCCGGTCCCCCACGAAACACCTTTTTCTCAGCCGTTTTTTGCTTTTAAGCAGCCTCATTGGATCATAATCGCCAAAAGGGAGAAGGTCCCTGCTTGCCCTTAAAGCTGTGAGGGCACGAATGGAGGAAACGTCGCTGTTTGGGGTGTTTGCGGTGCCTGCAGATTGCCCAGCAGTTGTCTACGCGTGTTGACCTGGTGCCGCCCCCGTACCTCGAGGAGTTCAAGCGGCTGCAGGTAGGGAGGGCACGTGACGCTTGATAAGGGATATGACTTGGGAGTACGCGAACTGTGACCTAAATCCTTAAGTCCCCCTGAAATAATCCCTTGGCGGATCTCCATAGCTGGGGAGGGCTCTGTTTGTTACACATGCATCGCTTTTGAAATTTTCGAGTCGGGGGTTATCGACACGGGGCTCGGCTTGGCTGCGGTTGCCGTCCCCTTTGAAAGACCGGTGCCCTGCCCTATGCCGTGCTTATGGGGTGGCGCTGCTTGGTCTCCATTTCTGTTGTTTGCTTTTCCACTTGTATTATCATTGTGAGGTGCTGGGCTGAGTGTGTCGGTCCCTTTCAGGATAATGTGCGCACCTTCAGCACCATCGAGGCCCGCGACGTGCTGGAGTCCGGCCTCGGCTACTCCGTGGACCGGGTCTTCGAGTGGCTGTCTGCGGAGCCGCTGGCGGCCGCCAGCCTTGGACAGGTATGCGGCCACGACCCGGGCATCCTGGCTCATCCCACAATGTATCTTGCACGCGCACGCGTCGCCTGCTCTGCAGCGCTCGGATATGCAGCCAGTTCTCGGCACAGAACAGAATCTTTTATATTGTTATCTCTTTTGTCGCAAATCCTTGTACGAATGGCTTTTGCATGAGTGAGCTCGGTGGCTTCCTTTCAGGTGTATCGCGGCAAGCTGCGCCCAGAGCACGGCGGCGCGGAGGTGGCGGTCAAGGTGCAGCGGCCGGCGGTGCTAGAGACCGTGGCGCTGGACATTTACATAATGCGCCGCGCCGCGATCCTCGTATCCACACTGCCGGGGGTAAGCCTGCCGTTAAGTGAGCGGGGGGAAGGTGCCCGGTGCTCCCATGTAATTCCTTTGCACTGCAATTCTTTGTGCTTAGTACCACAGCAGTTTGGAGATTAGCAGCCTGAACAGCAGGCACACGGGTGACTCTCATCGTCGCCTCGCCTGTGTCTTTTATCATTCGATTTCATGGCCAGAGCCTGGTCAGAGCGTGGTCGCGCTCTCTGTTGTTGTGTGGCACCTCGTGGCCGGCCGACCGCTTACTCCTCCGTCCGCCCACCCGGTCCTCGCTGTCCCTCCTGCGCTGTCCCCAGATGTCGGACCAGTGGGCTGTGGTGCTTGACGATTGGGCTTCACGGTTCTTTGAGGAGATGGACTACCAGCTGGAGGCCTACAACACCATGACGTTTAAGAAGCAAATGGCCTCGCTTCAGGGTATTACCGTCGCCACAGTGTATCCGGAATTCACCTCGCGCAAGGTCATTGTCACAGAGTGGATTGAGGGAGAGAAGGTACGTGGCCATCACCGCGCAGGGTTCCCTGTGGATTGCTGCCGTGTCCTTGCGCTCACGTAACGCTTACGAGAGTCCAACGGCGCGGCACGAGAGCAAGCACATGCTCGCAGCGAGGCATGGTGGGCGAGACGGGATGGACTTCCGTTTCTGCGGCCAGTCAACGCGACCGCCTTACTGCTGCTTTCCAAAGCCTTTTCCATTATGTACTACGCTTACCTAATCACCCCTATTTTATGTTGGACAGCGGGGTTTAAAAATGCCTGCGGTTTTCCCTTCATACCTGCGCATGCCTGCTTCACCCTCATTTTTTAACAACTGAACTGTACCAATCACTGTATGTGCAATGCGTCCCCGTTTCTCGCTCTATCCCAACAGCTGAACCATTCGAAGGCCGAGGACGTACGGGCGCTGTGTTCCACGTTGCTCAACTGTTACCTCATCCAGCTCTTGGAGACGGGCTTGCTGCACGCGGATCCGGTGCGTAACAAATACCGGGCCACGCCAACGCACTTGCTGCTCCGCAACGTGCGCCACCGGTTGCTCTGCTTTGCCTTTTCCACGATGAGAAGAGCTACTCATTCCGTTCCCACAACGGCGCACAACGGCGCTTCGCATGTTTACCTGCTAGGGCCTCAGGGATGGAAATTTTGACGCAGCTCAGTTTTCATATTATCATTGCATGCTGCGAGGAATTAAAATCGCCCCGTGTTCCTGACCCCGCCTTGCTTTGCCCACTTGCTCTCCCGCCGCCGTTTGCGTCGTCGTGGATTATGGGTGCACACCTACAGCATCCCGGCAACCTGTTGCGAACCGCGGATGGAAAGATCGTCATTCTGGACTTTGGCCTCATGACGGAGGTGACGGAGGATCAGCGCATCGCTCTTATTGAGTTCATTGCGCACCTGACCATGGAGGACTGGAAAGGCGTGTCCAAGGACCTGCTCGCGCTAGGGTAGGACAGAGTTAAGCGAGAGGACAGTGCGGGGGATGTGGGGAATGCTGCTGTGATGCGTGTTTCGTAGGCATTTGAGCCATGGCCACTTCCCGAAAGAAACGCCAGCAAGCAACGCCATCCGCAAGTGCTTCCTTTCTTCTTCATCCCCCCTGGAACATTCCGTTTTCATTTTTTGGCCTCTCCTGCTGCTGCTGGCATTTGCTGTGACGTGTTGCACGGACGCATAATCACCATACGTGAAAGGTGATTATGGTGACGGCATCTGCTTGTTTATGTGCATCTGACATGTGTGACATGATGACATGCTAAATGTATCATCAACCCTCAAATCCAGGTTTATGCCGGATGGCATGCCGGACAACGCGGAAAACCTCATCGCGCCCGTGCTGGAGCAGGTGATGGGCCAAATTGTTAGGGGCGGTGGCCTGCGAGGTTTCAACATTGGCTCCATGACAAGCCAGCTGCAAGGCGTGGCCATGAGCTACAAGATGTGCATCCCGCCCTACTTTGGTCTGGTCCTCCGTGCCTTTTGCGTGATCGAGGGCATTGCGCTCAAGACGGACGAGAACTACGCCATTGTCCAGGAGTGTCTGCCTTACCTCTCTCGCCGGCTGCTGACCGACAACAACCCGCGTATGCGGAAGGCGCTGCGCCAGCTGCTGTACGGCAAGAAGAACCGCATCGACATTGAGCGACTGTCCAAGCTCATCTCAGCGTTTGGTGCCTTCACGACCAACTCAGCGACAGCCCAGGTGCGTCAGTGAGTGGGGGGTAATGCGTAAGTGCGTGGGTCCATGATGGCGCGCCGTCTGCTGCTGGAAAGCGAAAGCAAAGCAACCATGGCGCCCCACGCGAGTGCTGTCCTGAGGGCTGTTGTCCTGCCCTGGTTGAGACCTGCAAGGCCCTCTACATGTAGTATGCGGAAACCAAACCTGAAGGATCAAGCTCCCAATGCGCATCCCGTTATGCATACACACATATGATTGTGTGGGATAGGGGGTTATGGCTTTATCCTTGGTCACTTGCCTATCAGTCCCGACCTTTCCCGATGTTTGGGGTACCGTTCCGTTCATCCGCTTCATCCGTTCATCCGCTTCTCCGAAATCAGTGGCTTCTTTTTTCGGGTTCAGCACCCACTGCCACCAGCATCCTCCAGTGGAATCTGCCTGGAGTTATGAATGGCGGTGTCAACTGCACTCCTGGTCGGCTCGCAGGTCTCTCACTATAACCGGGTCCATCATCGTGCCATACATGTATGTGTGCGTGCGTTCGGTTACATTAAACACTGACCCCTATAGCACTGGCTGTGTGATGCGGTTGACGATAAGCAGCCCTTTTTTCCTTCCCCCTAGCTTCTCATACCCACGCTTCTGTGGCATGATGTCCCCTGCTCGCTGTTCAGGCCGCCGGCCCCACGTTTGGTGCGGCTGCGGAGCGGGCCTATGCGGAGCGCATCAAAGGCCAGCTCAACGGCGTTGCCGCCTCCAATGGTCCGGTCGTCAACGAGGCCACGCGCGAGGTGCTCAAGGTCGTGTTTGCCAAGGACGGCAGCTACGCCCAGGAGTTGATTGTGGAGGAGATGGTGGCAGCGGTGGACGCAATGAGCCGCGAGGCGCTGGGCGAGGCGCTGCGACTGGTGCTCAGTTCGGCGGGCGCGGTGACGGCGCTGCGCTCCGTGGAGGCGTTGGGACCTCTGAGGTCGATGCTGATGCCGCTTCCGCTTCCACTGGAGATGCTTTCGGCGATGGCGCCCTCGGTAACGCTAACGCCGGAGGACCGCCAGGTGGGCAGTGCGCGCGGGAACCTGCATGAATTGTATATGACGTGTGAACCGCGTAGGAACTGTAGAAAGGGGGGAATCAATCTACATGCAGTTCAACGTTTTAATCCCACGGGTTAGGCTTTCCTGCTGCTGCGCCGTGTTTCCTTCCCAGATTTTGGTCTCTAGAATAGTTCCCCGGATCCATTTGCCTCACTTTTTCACCACAGGCGTTGGCTATGGTTCGCACACTGCTGGACCTGTTGCAGCCATCGATTGCGCGTTTGCCCGATGTGGCTGCTACAGGCGGTCGCGCCATCCGCGCCGCCGGCGAGCTGATGCCCATGGTTCCGGAGCTGCTACCCGGCATGCGCTCTACCCTGGAGCTGTTTATCAGGCAGCTTGTCCGCCGCATGGCGCTTCGGCTGGCGGAGGATTTGGAAAAGTCATCCCCTAGCGGCGGCAGCAGCAGCTACAGCGGCAACGGCGTGGGCCAGCAGCAGCAATAACAAGGCACTGTCCATGTCGCGTCTCCAGTTGTCGCGACTCCACAGGGCCCGCCTGGGGTTGCTGAATTCGGATTGTAGTGCGAGGTTGGATTGTAGTGCGAGAGGACGGCATTTAAGCGGCGGTAGGCCGGGCGGACGACGGGATATGCGGCATGCCGCAAGCGTTGCGCCGTACGCGGCGCAGTGTACTATTTATGCAGGTTATGCGGCGAGGGCGTGTGTGTAGCCGTGTGGGCTTTACTGCCTTCAACTTGTATTTTCCGCGGCGCCGGGGGCTGTTGTATATTGGATGAGCAGCGGGGCTTTTCCCAGTGGAGGCAGTTGGCGAGATTGTTTGGTGCGGCTGGACAAGAGACATTTCGTTGGCAGCTTGGCTTGAGAATTGCGGTTGCGCGCTTTTAGTTTTTATGTATGTATGAGTGATTGTGTACTTAAGTTGCGATTGTTGCTGTGAGCCCCCACAAACGCAGATGTAGAATAGTATTTGTACGCGAAGCGGATGGATGTGGAATTTTGGCGGGTCGGCAAATGACAAAAAGCATCTCTCCTTGGTGGGCTTTCCATGGACGGCTCCCGTCTTCACTTTCCTTGCCCACTTCCACTCATCCGTGAGGCCTTTCGTCCGAAATGGATGTGGGATCTGGATGGGAAGCGCAACCTGGGCCTAATCAGCGCTGCCGCCCAAGCTTGCCTAGGTGCTCGTGAACCTCTGAGCACTCCTTGACGCTGGTTGTGCCATTTATAATGGGTCGGGATTTCGTCCTGGTGGCGATGTCGGTGACGGAAAGGCCTTCGTTGCCAACGCATGTATCGGCGTCCATTTTATCTGTTTTCATGTAGAGCGGAGCGGCCACTTTTCCGCCTAAAGCACCGGCCGTCCCGGCAGTTGGCGGGTGTGTGGGATAAAGCGTGTGCGGATGTGTGCAAGGGTATACGCGGGTCTTGAAGGTCCCGGTGCTACGTTGAGCTGCCGGGCGGTGGTCTGGTCTAGAGTGTCGCAGCGCCGTTCTTACAGAACCCCAAAGTCAGTCGGCCCCACACGTTGGTTCGCGGCGACGGCCCCTGTCGTACGGGGGACGCCGCTGCCGCTTGTTTGTTTTTCTTTGTGCAAGAATGCTTGAGGCACGACCGGATTTGCTGTCTAGTCTAATAAACTGCAAGGTGTCTTGTATTTCCGTGTCGCTGCGCACTGTGGTGCACCAACTGTGCCCGCTTGCGATTTGCCTTGTGTAGTGCTTGGTGAATAAAGTGCGCGGCTGCCTGCCTGTGTATTGAGGTAGTGTACATCCGCTGGCTATTTGTTGGGTGGCGTCTGAGGAGCGGAACGCCCGCGCAGGCCCAATGAGGGCCCCGGTTGTCGAGGCCGCTGCCGCCGTAATTCTTCTTCATCACGTTCACACTCACAATTCTGAGCCCAAGTAGAGTTACGTAGAAGCACCTAGCTGGTGCCTGTGGGTGTGTCGCGCGTTTGGAGGCTTTGCTTCTTGGCGTATAGAGCTGTATAGTGTCATGCACAGTGGCTGGCTTGTGGTCGATTCTTCTCCGGACGCTGTGTGTTTAGGAGTTGGAGCTGGTACCGTCTTTGCGTATGTGTAAAGCTGTATGGCATGAAGGGCTGTTTATGCTGGGCGCTGCCGTCCGGTATCATGCCTCTTGCGTGTCACCGTATTGCTGTAGAAGAAATAAGGCTTGGTGAATCATGGTGACCAAATGTTGCCATCTCTTATGACTCTGCACGAGGGCTTCCATTGTTTGGCGTGAGGTTTTCCCGGGTCCATGCGACTTTGATGCCTCCAGTTAAGCGTGTCTCACGTACGGAAGCATACTAGCTGCTTGTCCATGTCCTGACTTGGATGAGTTCTCATTTATTATGCCATTCCTCCTGTCTGGTGGACCTTTTTTCATGGAAACGAAAGAAGAGCGGCGCGAGGTGGAGGACTTAGAACGGAATTGGCTAAATGGCCAGCCTTTTCGGCCTGAACCCCTCTGCTGCTTTTCGAGCCTGGAGCGGAAGCGGATGGCGATGATTTGCTTGCGTTGCTATGATTGGTTGACTTTTCAGCTCTGAAATCTAATTGATGTTCCGCATATACCTGTCCTGAACTTTTGCTGCTGCATTGCGATCGCGTTGTTGTGTCTGCCGCTTGGGTGCCCTCGAAAGACTGAGGCGGTGGAGGGATCAATCAACCCGCCGCGCTGTGACCGTATGTGTTATGGGTGAGGTGCTATTTAGAGAAGAAGTGCTCGACCTCTTTTAAGAGCAAGAGCGTGCATGCATGCTTGATGCCGGGTCGTGTACGCTGAAATATGTTCGTTTTGGCCTGCCTGCCTGCTTGTGCGTATACTGAGAAGCGGAACGTGTTGCAAGCTTGCGCGTAAGAGACACAAGAGCGCATATTTACTTACGAGAGAAGAGATACTTATGGGAATATGTAGTGGCGTCGCGAAAAGAATGTATGCGGTAACACTTGAGCATAATAACGTGGACGTTTTTCGCTGTCGTACGATTAATGTGTACTGATACCGCTGCCAAGCAGTGTCTGGCGAGGATTAAGAATGTAAATGTTGATGGACGCGTGTACCTCAACAGAACATGCATGTCCACTAACTCTGGACACGAGACGTCACTTTCTCGTCCCGTCTTTAACACTTACATTAAACACAAGCACCCAATTCTCCCAGGGCGAAGGGAAACCTCCCGTCAACCATATAATGTGCTGCCGCCAAAATTGCCATACCAGGCCGTGTGTCCAGAGAGGGACAGCTTCTTGCAAAAACATAACACCTAGCGGCTGGCATCGCCAGCCCCTTCCACCGTCATGGCGTTCTGTCGTACATGCAGCCAGACTCAGCGTCCATATACGGCCCCGTCCCCAGCAAAGCCACGCTGGATGTCCTAAACCAAAGTAGAAACCCCTCCCTTAGACGACAGAAACAAACATTTTGCCACCGCAATAACTACTCTGCCACAGTCCAATGAAGCCGCTAGCCACACCCAGCTAGGACCACCCACCCGTATTGATAACCGGTGCCGAGCCCCTCCCCTGTCCCGGAGGGCACATGCGGGACCTCACTGCCGCTGCGTCTGACCAGGCAGCTTGCCCGTCTTGTACAGCCCGTACAGCGACGAAAGGCCCAAAAAGCCCACCATGATCCAACTGTACGACGGGTACAACTTGTCCTGAATCCAGGCATCCACTTCGTCCGGCAGGAAGCCCTGCCATGCATGGGGCCCCGTTGGGTGGTTAGCGTCAGTGGCAATGCTGTAGACAAGCTGCGCTTGGTTTGTCAATCCATATGTACAACGCGGGGATGCCGACACCAACACTTTAACATCAGCAGCTCCGCTCAGCGACCTAAGTGATAGGCTTGGTGCATGGATCCTGGAGAGGGGGGGGGAGCTGTTTGGTTGCACACGGAGGTGTCAATACCCTAACGCAAAACCCCCTGCCGGGACTTCACAGGAAATGTTTGCAAACGACAGAATGGCCCGCCCGCATGCCATGTGCAGGTGCGGGGCGCCTGGGGGGCAGGTAGGCCACACCCTGACAGATAAAAAGGTTGAATAAATCAAGCGTGGGAAATTACGTAGGCTTTTGGCCCCGCGGCGCGATACCCACCGAGCCGGCCAGCGCAAGGCCCAGAAAGAGCACCCCCAGGAAGTAGAAGGAGAGGAAGGCTAGGTAGGCCCGCTCCCCCTCGCTCTCCGCGGGTGCTGGGGCTTTGCCCGTAGCAACGTCTACGGCCGGCGCCACCACCTTCACTTTTGCTTCGACCTTCTTGCGGCGGGATCTCTGAAACATGGCAAGAGCGCGGGAATTGGGGAAGAGGGTTACGAGGAGCTGCATATGCGGCGGTGGATGGCGCCTTCAAGCTTGGGAGCCCCGGCTCGAAGGAAAGCCCCCGGCAGAGGCCGGCTGCGAAAAGCTTTGCGGGAAAGTGCTGACCTGGGTTGTATATCACCTTTAATCTTGGGGGCCTTCCACGCGAGCTTATCGAGGTTTCCGTGTTGTTGCAACATGTTATGGATAACTAGACCGCCCAAGAACCCGCGGTGGGGCCGTTGTACGGCGCAAGGATAACCTACGCCTGCTGGACGTCCCTGCTGGACGCCTGCTGGAATCTGGTTCATCTCTGAGCAGTTGTCTGGATTGGCGAGCGGTTCTATTGCCACTTACAATCCGGGCCTCCAAGGCTTCCAGGGCCAGAGCGTCCTTATCCGTCGACGTGGAAGGCGAGGAAGAGGCCGTCGCTGCCTCTTCCTCCTCTTCCTTTGGCACTTGCTTCTGTGGATTGTTAAAGATGCATTACACTCGTTTGTAATTTAAATGTCGTCCTAACTATGCAACCCAAATAAGCAATGCTTTCAAAAGAAAGCTGCGCGCACCTGAGGGGCCTTTGTCTCAGCACCAAATCCTTTTGATTGACATGCAAAGGAGCTTCGAACGTGGACCTGCCCAAACACCGATGGCCGAACCAGTCGGTGTTGCACAATGAGTGTCTGCATTGTAGTGTATTCGCTACAACAATTCCTTAATTAAGTTTCAAAGCATAGTTATTCCGTTTAGAGTTGTCCTTCGCGATGGTATCACGAACGCGTCTGCAAGAGCTGGATCTGATTCCGCACGAAAACACGAAGATTTTTCCCCACACTGACAGTTTTTGCGTCCGTAAGAAAAGGTAAATAAGAAATCCTGAGCATGCCCACTGTATTCCTAGGTAAATACGCAACACAGTTGGGGTTCTTTCGCCGGTTCGCTCCCACCCTGTCTCCCGTATTAACTGCCAAAACTCTAAGGCTGATACAACCCGTCCAATGCGCAACATATGACGAAATACGTTTGCAGTGTGCGCCACTGCAAGCACCGTGAGCGGGGACGCGTAGCATCATCCCAGCACAGCATCGCAGCGCAGCGCAGCGCAGCGCAACGACGATAGCACAGCCAAGCTGCAATCCCGCTTGGCCCTCTAGAATAGTAAGAACCTCCAAAGGTGGATGAAATGGAGGTCGGTGACGATGGAGCCGACAGCCAGGGTCGGAGTCGAGGTCCCAGCCACGTTCTGGACAGTGACCGACCAGGGCCGCCACCAGTAGTCGCCATCGTAGTTTTCGCCCGGCTGCCGGTCCCGGGTCGCGTCAAGACAAGGCTTGCAGCCGGTGCGGGTGTCGGTCCCAACGGCGCCTGCGACTTCTACAAAGCGTGCGCGGAGCACGCGATCAGCCAGGCCGCGAGGTGTCTGGGAAACGGAAAAAGTGAATAGAAATGGGAAAAACATGGGCCTATGGGCAGGAGAGCGTACACAAGGCTGGCTGGGGCTCTCCAGGGGCAGGTCCTGCGCATGAGTTTGGAACTCGCATGCTGCCTGCTGAGGTGTCAAACACGTGCACAAGCTTCTAGTCGGCTATCTTGCCCTGTCTTGCCCTACCCTGCTCAATGTTTCCTTTCTTCCCATCTCAACACATTCACAATTTCGGTGTCCTTTCTCACCTGCCTTTCCCCCCGTGCCCACGCCCTGCCCTATCTCAGTCCCAGCTCTGTCCTCGCCCTTCCCTGCCACCCCCTGAGGCGCTGCAGCTGCTCTTACTGGGCTCAGGTCTCCGTGTACCACAGCTCCGGAGATAACACCGCTGACGTGGCCTCGTGGCTGGCAGGAGAAGGGCTGGTGAGGGGGGCCCGCTCCCAAGCGCTGGGTGGGTGAGCAGAGGGGTGGGGGAGATGGAGAGGTGCGGGAAAGGTAGAGGAGCGATTGGGAAGGTGTTGCTGCCGCTGTGACGCGGGCGGGTGGGTGTGTTCAGGTTGGAGACTTGTCGGTCAGGGCTCTTCGGTTTCGCCTTTCCTCTAGGACTGTGTGGAACTGAGCGGCGCTGAAACAAGGCAAGGGAGCGTAGGCACGAAATTGTACTGGAAGGGTGTGTGTGACGTGTGTGTGTATATATGTATGTGTGTACATATGTGTGCATATGTAGGTCCTCCCGAGTGTGTGTGTATGTATGTAAGTATGTGTATAGGGCCACCCGACCCGCGCTTTTCCCGACTGCCCCCGCGCCTTGGAGCTCCCTCTGGACGGTTCTACAGGTCTGTAACCCCCTTCCCTCCCTACCTCCCTACCTCCCGCGCACGTCAGAACATCCCTTGCCATCCGCAGCTGGGGCACCGTCTTGGCGGAGGCGGAGGCGGCGTTCAGGGCAGAGCCAGCGACGACGCCGCAGCTGCCGCTACGGCCACCGTTGCCACCACAGCCTCCAGCTGCGGCCTTTCCGCTCCGGAACCCGACCTAGGTGCCAAGATGTTGGCGGCCATGTCCGAGGCGTTGCACAGGAGCTTCGGTGCCGTCAATGTCGGGAAGCAGCAGAAGGGCAAGGTGCGAGCGAAGCCACACCTCGTCAGACCCCCTTTTAGAACCCCACCCTTCGTGGACCTTTCTCGCTGCACTCCGCAGCACTCTCACGCCTCCTTCTTTCCCCCGCCCCAACTCCCATAGGGGCTGTTTCCACCGGGACAGGAGTTTCAATTTGCTTCATTATCCCCCCTCAACAGCATCAGCAACCATCACTACGTAATCTAGTCTACTCCCTGCCCTCCCGGCTTGCCACCGCCGCTGCTATCCTTTTTGAAGTCTGACCCGGCCCCCGGATCGCCCCACGCTTCACTCATCTTCGATTCCATGGCTCTCAGGTAGCAGCCCGTCCTCGGTTTGTTCCCGGGAGCCCTCACCATTTGGTTCGGTTTTAGGGTTTGTACTTTCCTGGCAACCACCGCCACGGCCACCACTAACCTCATCCCCGCGCCCGCCACGTGAGCCTTATCGTAGGTGTTGATCATGGGCACCGATATTCCCGACATAACGGGCCAGTTGCTGCGACGCGCAGCTGATGCTTTGGACGAGCACGAGGTATGGCCGGCATGGAAAAAGTGCTGTACCCAGTTTGCGTGCGCAGTTCGTGTCATCCTTGCGCTCTTACCCCGGCATGTGCTTACTAGTGTTCCGCTGCCGCTGTGGCCGCCACCGTCACGCTGCTGCTAGGGGCCCGTGTTTGGCTTTTGGGTACTTCTGTAGCACCTTGGTATTAATGACCAGAATCCCTTGGGTGACCTGATTTCAGATACCACCCACCACCCGTATCCAGGTCCCCCGAGTTGTGTTCTTTTATAGGAAACCCCGTTGTTGTTTTGTGCTGTCCACTCTTCCCTCTCCAACAACATCGGATGACTCTTTCCTTCCTGCCTATTACGCCATCAGCAGTACCCCGCCCCGGCCTCCGCATGCGGCTGTGCCAGGTGGTCATCGGGCCCTCCCTGGACGGTGGCTACTACCTGCTGGGCCTTACGCGGCTCGAGCCGCGGATCTTCCAGGTGGGGCAGGGCTGTCTGTCTGTCTGTCTGTCTGTCTGTCTGGAGGGGAAAAAGTGGTTTCAGAAGATGGTGGCGGGAAAAGAGTATCATACTGGGTAGAGAAATATAGGGCCCTCCCAGGTGGCTGATGAGAGCAAGAAGGAGGGAAAGGGAGAGAGAGGGACCTGAAAAGGTTTCGCTGGGGAAAAGGTAGGGGACTGTAGGGTAGGTTTTATGAGGAGATCTTACAAGGAGAAGCCTCTCTCTAATAGGTAAGGGATGTGTCCTGTTCTTTCCAAAAAGTTAATGTATTGTTGTTTGCATTTGCATTTGGGATTGAGAAGTTGGAGATGATTTAATGTGTGCAGTTGCTACGTAATGGGTCGGGGATGCGTTTGACGGTCTGATGGGCCTCCTTTCCTTACCTGCCGTGATGCGGCGGTTGAACATGGACGGCTTGGGCCTCATGGACGGGCAACTTGAGCGTCATGGACTTATTAAGACTTTGGGGTTCCCCTTTAGGGGAAGAACTAAAGGGGAAGTAGTGGCCCCTCCTACCTCCTACACGGTTCCCTGCCGGGCCTCCGCCTCCTCCTCATGGACCGGTTAACGGCCTCGCGTCTCCCGCCTTTCTGCATTCTTTCCTCCCTCCACAGTCTACACTATACACCATCCCCTTAGCTCTAGGCTCTGGCGGTACGTGCTTTGGATGTCGGCAGTTGGTCCCCCGCCTTATCTGCATCATGTAGATTTCACCTTCAGGCCGCCCTCACCCTCGGGTGGCGCCGCGAGTTGTTTTCAGGACATGCAATGGAGCACTGACCGGGTGCTGCGGGATACTCTGGAGCGGGCAGCCGCTGCGGGACTGCGAGTGGCCCCCCTGGACTGCCTACCCCCGCTGAGAGATGTGGACACAGTGCAGGTGAAGGGGTGTACGGGGGGGGGGTTGGGGGATTAGGTGGGTGTATAGACGGCGGGTAGGTAGGTGGATGGGCGAGCCGGTGTATCTGTATATCAGTGTGAATGTCATCAAACATTCCAATTCACATCCGCACCCAAGGTGCACCTGTGCTAAGTGATGGGCTTGTGGACGTGTGAGAAGGAAAAGGACAAAGAGGAGGCAGGGTGTTGGCTTTGCATCGACATTGGCGGTAGTCCCTTGCGGCTGCGCCTTATGTTGCTCCTGCTGCAACGTAAGGCAGCCCCAAACCCAGGCGATAGCCTCTGACGATTGGAGGGGGAAGCTGCCCCGCGCTGCTCTTTCTGGCTCTCAACTGCACTTTCTTTAACCTTCCAATTGATTCCGCCCCCATCCCCGCCCACGGGGTGGGGGCCCCCTCGACCGGACTGCTGCTGCTCATCACGTTCCTCCTCATACCCCTCTCCCCCCCTCCCAACGCGCGCCACGGGCCCCCTCGCTGCACACGGCAACCCACTGCCCCGTTCGGGCTCAGGACCTAGCTGAATGGGTCTCAATGTCAAGACCGCCGTCATCGTCGTTGCAGCCACACAGCACAGAGGTCACTGAGCCCGAGGTCGATTCTGCTGGCGGCGTTCTGTCGGTGGCAGGGGGCCCCATGGGAGGCGGCGCTCTAAGCCGGCGACGGCAGTGTCTACTGATGGTATCGCGGCGGGTGCTGGAGAGAGCGGCGGTGGCAGTGGTAGAAGCATCGGCAAATGCAGCAGTGGTCGTGATGTAAGGCCTGCTAAGCCGAGATGGGCACTGGAATAGGATGCGATAGTTCATGGGGGCGGATTTGGGGGGAGAAATGTACCCCGGAGCTGTGTGGTGGGTGCAGTGGTCATTCCCACCACAGCTGGGTCTTGGTAGATTGAGGGTCGCGGCGGAGTGGGTTGATAAGGGATTGCAAGGCTTGTAGACAGTGGATATAATAACCCTCAGTCGGAAGCATCGGAGTGGTGTTGCGGCACAGAGCTTTGAAGACAGTGTGGGATGAAAGGAGCCAACGAACGGAATAATGTTCGATTAGGCGCATATAATTCGGAAGACTTATGCTGCGTCTGAATGATGTTTTGGGTTTTGGAAAATGCTGTACGAGACCTTGGGGCTGGAAGCTGGGGGAAGGTCCGAGATGAAGGGGCACCGCTAAATTTTGTCTTTTTACTCTATATCGTTCATAAGTTTATTATTCTCCTGCAAAAGAATTGAACAATACATATTTGAATACTTGATGCAGCAAGAGTAACCTCAGTAACGTCAGAGTAGGGATGTCTATCCTCGTAGGGCTGAATGTTCCTGGTGTTGTTGGGGCAGTTAGGAGGAGGGTTGGCTTGCATTTGGAGACCCTCCTTCTTTGTGATGCGCCACACGGAGATTGTGCGGTCTTAAAAGGCCGCGGCTTCTATAAACTTCTTTGCGCGAGCAAGGGGCAGCTCCCTGTGCTAGGACCGCGCTTGACGGTTTATGAGACGGATTCGAAGGGCAGTGGCCTGCGTCCATACGAATTTAGCTCCTTCCTGTCCTGCGCTGCGTTCTGTGCGGGTTCAGGGCTGACTTTCTTTGGCCAGGGCCACGAAATATATATCCTGGATGCGAATAATGTAATCCGGCGGCTGATAAGCGACCACGACGGTGTGGGTCGTGTGAATGAACCGAAGCTATACTATCCGTCAGCTTTGGCTGTTCCCGATCCGGAAACTCTGTATGTGACGGACGCAAATGGTTTGCATGTCTTCCGGCTGGCGCCGTCCTCTACGGAGGACGGTGTTATCGTGGTGTCTGCAAGCACTATGCGCTTCCACAACGAGGACCAGTTCACCCAATTCGGCCTTGTGTGTGGCAGCTGCGGAAACGTCATGTTCTCAGCCAGGGCAATTTATCGAGCATCGGGACCGGGCGTCGGCTGGCAGTTGTGGGCAGGGAATGCTGAGCTTGGAGGCGATGCAGATGGAGTCCGGCACGAGGCGCGTTTTTCAAGCATTACTGCCGTCGCCCTTGATGGTACTGGCGCAGCTTTGGTCTTAGATGCTCAACCTGACGGCAGGACCGTCGTGCGCCGCATCAGCGTGGATGGCCACGTCAAGACAATTTACCGTCCGACACCACTGGAAGAGATCGACGCGTGCGGAGACGCCGTTAGCTGCGATTCCAGGTCGATGTCCCCTTGCTCCGCGGGCCCTGCCTGCGGTGGAAATGCCGCTACCGCGTTAGAGCCGTATGAGTGTGCGTTCTTGGGCGGGGGTTTGCGCTGCCCGCTAGTACTGGACAACTTCCTTGTACTATGCGCACCTCTGCAGGGCTTCATTCTGTTTCTACGCGTCTCAGGTTTGCGCGAACTCCCGTTTGAGCATGCAGAGTCTAGGACTGCACGCACCTGCTCCAATGCTAGCTGCAGCACGTTTGCGCCTGCTCCTGCGTGCCTATCATCAGACGTTGCGTGGTGCAATTACGGCGCTCATCGAGTGGGTCCGTGCGCTGACCCAGGGGCACACGCCGAAAGCTCGAGCTGCAGCAGCAGTAGCAGTGGCTGCAACAGTGGTTACGATATTTATCGAGCCAACAGCTGCAGGAATGGCGGGTGTGCTTCCCTCGTCTACAGAGACGATCTGCACGACTCCTGTAGTGCAGCCGTGATCGAGCTCGTACAGTTACAACAAGACGAAGAGGAAGTTAGTAGTGAAGATTCTTCGCACGGTGGCAAGGCGGGAGATTTGGGACAACATCTCAGCAAGCGAAAGGGGTCGGTTCCGAACTGTGGGAGGGTATGGGCTGGGAAAACCCTGCCAGCACGCAAGCGGTGTCGTCGGTTATAAAGGTGAAATGGAGCAGCCGGGCAACTCAGGGAAAGGTGTCCAGGAGCTAACCTCGGCAGGCTCGCGTTACTCGTGCTTCCGAGTAGAGCCTTCAGTGTCCCCTGACTGTCAGGGTCGCCGAACACATAGTCTTAGGGCTGGCGTCAACTCTGGTACGCTGTGTGCAGATGGTGGGCGCGTCCCACAGATTAGGACATTGGGTCCCTGCATGTGTACTGCAAGCATGTGCAACTCAACTACACCCTTGCAAGCAATAATAATGATTTGCTAGCAGCAAATGGAAAATGACCGGGAAGAACTGCATGGGAATGGCTTTCTTTGACTTCTGACAGTAGTAGTACCTCGTTAGGTTTCAAGACGGATTGGAGACCAAAGTAATGCTCCAGGTGTGCAGACACCCGGCAGAGATTGGAATGGAGGTTGAGATCAGGACAGTTGTCCTCTTTATATGTTCGTTGCATCTTAGGTCGTAAAACAGCAATACGACAACTCCCCGGCCTTCTGCAGTGTGGTTGGTGAAGGCACGCTCAAGAAATGCAAAGCACTATGAGCGTACGGTAGCAATATGTACGGTGCACTGCTTAGTGTGCGTATGTGCACATGTATGATCAATCGTACACAACTGGAAACGTGGTGGGCCAGATGGGTTGGAGCTACCTATAGTTGCAGCACCTACCTGCCTGCGATCTCCATGTCCCAGGGATAAACTTTTAAAATCCCTACTGAACCCAATTTAAATCAAACTTGTGTGTGCGGCTTCGTGGCAGTCCTTTTTACTTCTTGGTACGTGCATCATGGCAGGGTTGGCGTGTGGAGAAACAGCCAGTGAGCCACGGCTTTTCGAGTGTATGTGTACGATAGTGTCGGTCCTTGTTGGAAACAGAAGCCTGTATGACACGACGTGTCATGACATGGAGGACGAAGGTCAAGTGGATAGTGCCTTTGCAGGCCGTCGGTCTGGGCGATGGTTGAGTTGACTCGTAAAATTGTCGTGAAGTACGTCTCGGTGCATGCACGGGAAAGGAAGGACGAGGATACACTGGCGATACTGCGCAGTGAGGCGTGTACGGACAAGCCGACTGACCGTTAATGGGTAATTGACTAACAATTGAGCGTTTGTATAGTTGTGCATGTGACATGCATGGGCATCACGCTATAGAGTCAAACCATATGCAAATGTTACTCCTACATTGCCCCAACAGAGGCGACCTGTAAATCAGAACCCTTATTAACGAACACAAGCTCATTCCAGCCGAGTTGTACGGCACGTCAACCGTTTTCATCCTGCCTGAAGGTCGGCTTGCTCATGAGCATCCAGTTCCATGGCTAATTCTATAAACCTCCGCTCGCAAAAAAATGGCCTTACAAATCAAAGCCACACTACTTGCCCTTACAACCGTCCGTCGCACATGTCATGTGGTCTGAGAACTGAAAATGCATCCTCGTCCTCATTATAGGTGTGCACTTTCGAATGCACTGTCCCAAGATTTGTAATACCCTCACGTCACCGACCTCACATGTTTGGATGTTTCGAAATGACACTACCGCCACTCCGGATAGTTCCCCACAGAAAATACCACACGTACACATAAGCACGATCAGCATCAAGAGATGTGAGCCCAGCAGAGCTTGAACACAGCCTGAACGAAATGAGCAGCAGCGAAGGAATGCGCCACGAAAGGAAACTCTTTTCCCACGCACTAACATTTGAAGTCAGGTACCGCACCGGCCATTGCATCCAACATCTCCGCAGTAATGATGCAGTGCGTTGTGGCTACGACGGCTTCACGACCGGTTGACCAGCGTGAATGATATCGCCATAAGAGGCCCCGAAAGCAAAGGGGCCACCTAAACAGGACGCGGACCGACGACTCTCTAAGCCGTACGGAAACACGTTTCAGTTCAGCTTCAGTGAAATTGCAACAGATGTCCACAGACGTATATACCTGACAAGTGGTGCAGCGCGGCAGGACCGACTGACCGACCGACAAACAGACGTACACTCATGTAAGGGATCTGCACACACACACACTCACTCACTCATCCCACACACGTCCCATACGCACTGCACGGATATACTTGTATGGCTTAATTGCATGTTATTATGTATGACATGAAATAACATAGAAAGACCTTAAAAGAGCACATATTCACACCACAAGCATTGCATCCACTCCCCGACATGCTTCCATGTAAGACCTGTCGCTGCTCTCACACTGCCAAATGTACAATGTCATTACAAATGATTGTTGCATCGGCCTGATGCATACCCCCTTGCGACGAGCTGATTCCACATCATTTCACAATTGGATAACTACAAACGTCTTCATGTGCATGAGGAGCTTCCTCTTACCTCTCCGCGTCCACCTCCCTAAACAACGGAACATTCACGAAATTCAGGTCCCCCCATATCCACGCCTCTCTGTCTCCCGATTTTCAAAGGTCTCGGCCTTTGGCTCGAGAGGCAGCGCTCCTCTCCCCCGGGCGGCAGGGCGCACTTGGGGCGTATTTTGGATTTTGGAGCTTCCAGTTTTCGCGCACCGAGAAGCGGCACGGCCAGCTACACCTAGCTACGCCTTCGCGCCACGTCCTGTCAATCACCAGCCTAGTAAAAAAATAGCTCCAGGACAGCTCCAGATACACGCCCAGAAACATGGCTCTTCAAACAGAGTGCTATAACCCCGCCCGACACATGCCACAGCCCAGGCACGCCTCCCTGCCCGGCGGCGGGTGCGGGATGCCTTCCAAGCGGCACTTGGGGTCCTTGCACGTGTCGCCATTGCCTATGACCGCAGGCCTTGGAAGCAAGCCATACGCTGCGGCTTTGTGACAGGGATCGCACATGTGTGTCGTACCGTAGCAAAACCACGACGCCAGGCTGCAGCAATACCTGCAGATGTGATGTGGTCATGCGTACGCATGTACGTGCTTACAAGTGGACTGGCAGTTGTGAGGCGAGGCCCGTACGTACGATGCCGTATTCCTGGAGCGGCTTGTAATCGTAGTAGCGACGGCTATGATGACTAGTGACGGATTGGCGGCAGCTATGTTGTTGACTAGTGTGCGACTACTGGCAGTGAAGGCGACCGGTTCTGTTCCGAGGTTGGGATATTGTCCCACGCTCCCTCTCCTACGGGACCTGCNTCTGATG